GTGCTGCACAGAGAGGCTGCCTGTCACTGTGAACGTGAGTTGAGATCTTCTCATTGGTCAGTCCTCATGAGGCGGGTCAGGTGGCTGAGAGCGTTGCTTAATGTCAAGTGTTGCTTTTGTGTAAATGGAGGACACTGCCCTCGATCTCAATGTAGTGGTTCATGTTTACCAGATTATACTGATGTGTTTTGTTTTCATAGCATCATGTGAAGGAGTGTCCTTGACAAGAGGACATAGTGTATTTGTAGTTCTATGAGCATTTGTACATCAAAATACACTTAGAATCTGAAGTATTGAGTATATTTACTATATACTGCAATAATTTACTCTGTATGTTGCCAGACTGGTGATCCTGGGGTGTTGATGATGGGGCCCTTGAATATTGTTGCCCAGGGTCCAGGGAAGTGTTAATCCGGCCCTGCTTATAACACAACAACAAGTGAAGAGGAAACATGTCGGCTGTCAGTCCCTTCTTGTAAAAGTAGTTTTCATAGCAAAACACAAAGGAAAGCCAGAGGAACTCCATTTAAGATCACAGTTTTTAAGTATTTTAATAACTTTTATGTTAAGTTTATTGTTGTACCTCCATCCCACAGCGGCCAGGAGCTGCTCGTGTTTCCCCTCAGCTTTATGAAAGCTTCAGTCTGCTCCTTGGACCCTAAAAACAACAAACACAGAAAGGCTCAAATTAAAAACTAGCTCAGTTCGCGGGAATACACGAAAAACTAAAGGACCCGCCATGCGAGCTCATTCACCATATTTCTGAGACAAATATTATTTTAAAACATATTTATGCAAAGGACTAAAGCCTAACAATACAGCCGCTTTTTATTTTCTATTTTTTACCGGCAGATTTGAATAAACTTACATTTAAAACTGTACTCCTCCATCGCGTCGACTCTCGCTTCGTCCGCCATTACTAGCTTAAATAAGCTCCGGTCGGGCCGCAGTGCATTCTGGGACATGCTGGGCCGGGAAGGATCATCGGACCTGTCCTTCGCTTCGGACGCATATTTAGTCGTTATTGTTATCATATTTGTCGGACGCATCGCAGGAGACTTCGGTTTTGGACGTCMTTCGTCGCGGCGCTGTGACGTCAGCAGCCGATGAGTTCGGCCTTCGGAGGACCCGGCCTGCCGTTTTGGACACAGCCGATTTATGCAAATGATATGGATGACGTCACGAACGACGGACCTCATTAATGTTTGATTCTGGTTCTGCCCAAAGAATTTTCCTATGACGTCACAGTTCTTTGTTGAATTCAGCTGGAGCTTGTTGGCAGTGCCTCAGATTGTAGCAGCAGCTGGAGGCTGACAGCTTATCTTTATGCAACATGAGTTTTGAAAAGAAACCTGCTGAGGCTACAGTGCTGGACATTCTAGTAGATCTAAATGATCTGTGGAACAATGTGCTGTCCATTAAAGACAGAATTTATAGTCATAAAAAGAAAATCCACAAAATGTCAGAATATGTCAAGGAGCTGCGTAAAGAAAATGACAAGCTCWATTTGAAAAAAAATAATGTAAGTCAGGAATTATTAAAAGTGCRGCATGACATAGATAAATATAAAAAGGGCAGGTTCTTTCAAAGACTCAAAGTTAAAAAATTWGAAAAGAAAGAAATGAAGCTGCTCAAAAAGTTGACTTCACTAAACATAAACATACCTTCAATAGAATATGAAATTTTAAGGGAAGAAGACAAACTGAAAAACGAGGAAGTAACACACTTCGATGAGGAACGCAAGCTTCTTTTTGACGACATTTATCAGAATCTAGATGGTTACAGAAACGTAAAGTCCACGTATAAAGCATTTCTTAGAGATGACATGTATCAAGATTTGACTAAAGACAGACAAATAATTTTAGAGGAAGATATGGAATTGGCCAAAAAAAGGTATTATTATTTAAAGACTTTAAGAGACTATCTTCATATGGATCTTAAACCTTCAGTTAGAGCACATTTAACTCAAAGTTACTGCTTAGAAGAACGTGTAGATCATGGAAACGTCTGTCAAGGACTGGATGAGAAAAGACACCTCGTTAGGTCTCTTGAACGTGATCTGGGTTTGAGGTTTTGAGGTAACTCCCTACAGACATGTGGCCTACAGACATGTGGCCTACAGACACGTGACCTACAGATATGTGGCCTACAGACACGTGACTACAGACACGTGACCTACAGACATGTGGCCTACAGACACGTGACCTACAGACACGTGACTACAGACACGTGGCCTACAGACA